TTTCGAGGCAAGTGCAGGTTCATATCATAATCTTACATCCATGTGGCAGTGCAACGCCCAGACTCCAGGGTTATCGGCAATAAATCTAAAAAGTTAAAGAGTAAATCATCTTAAGATGGTCAACATAATATATTTCTCATTATTGGCTTCAACTTACCTAATGGCAATCCATCCTTTCCTGGGAAGAACAGCTACATCTCGTCGAGTTGGATTTTGGTAGTTAAAGTTTGCCTCATCCTTTTTAGGGTCAAATGTTCCTTTTCCAGTACCGACAATCATGAAGACATGTCCATGCTACAAAATTGATATAAGTAAAAACGTTTACAAAATCGTCAAGTCTGTATCGCTACTGTACCAAATGGAAGGGATGCTCTCCACCGTTGACGCCTCCTTGAATCACGACTTGAATGACTTTAGGCTTATTGATGACATGAAGAAAGTTGACGGAATTGATGTTGCTTTGCCCACTCCACCAATTCATCATAGTCGGTCGACTAGCGTCGTGCACGTATGTTTGATTATTCAGGAACCCTCTCAATCTTGTACCGTTTTTACCAAACCTAACTCGTACTATGAGAGAATCGTCGTACGGAGGTGCAGCAACTGGATAGTAATTGACCAGAGACTCCCCATTCATATCTGCACAGTGTGGCAGTGTATCGTTTGCGGCAATAGACCCGTCGAATGTGTCCTCTCCGTCCTTGTAGATGACTTCAGCCAAAGCTGGCGGGTAGTCTTCCAAAGTCTCAGCATCACCATGGAAGCATTGAGTATCTAGCTCTGCCCTCATATAGTAATTTTGAGGTACTTGATCCGCTTCAACAATCACTGAGTACCTTTGGGCTACATGGAGTGTCAGACGGTCTACAGTGTACTTCTTCATGGGGACTCCATCTGCCTGAGATCCAGCTTTTGTTCAGAACTTTGAAAAAATTTCATAACACAATCACTCATATTAAATACCTCGATGATGGTTAATTTGTGGTTATCAATCGAAAATCGAATGTTTGAAATCGCTCCAGCATTTATCAACCTTAGGCGATATCTTTTTCCAGGCTCAAATTTAAACTGTGGAACAGACTGGCCGCTTGTGCATTCATCATCGTCATTCAGTTCAATTTTATCACAATCGAATGATCCTCTTCCGTTGATTAAGATGTTATCTGGAACAGCCTGTGTATATTATTCCAGAGTTAATTTACCTATAAGCTTTGATGTCAAACGAGTTGGATTTACACTTACCTCCAAGGCTGGAATTGAATGCAATTTGGTAACCACTGAAGCTGAGTCTTGGTGATACCTGCATCGTAATTCAAAGGTTAATTGAATAGATAGACTGGCATATACAACTTGGGAAATACATACAGGTCACTGACTGTGACTTCATATTCTTCGTCATAGTCGTCAACATGTGGGTCTTCCTCTGGATTGTGAATGATCAATGGTCCCATTAAGCCTTCAATCGCGAATCATCTGGCTGTTAGTTCAGATTGCTAGTGATTCTAATCGCGGTATTGTTTGCGACTCACCATCAGCAAGCTGGCCCTTATGATGAGAATGCCAGTAATATGTTCCCCAGTTTCCAGTCTGAATTTAAACGTAGATACATAAGTTGATCAATATTTTCATATCAGACAATGAATGCAATTTCTACCCACGGTATTGAACTCGTAAGTGTAAGAAGACTGAGCAGGGATAGGGCAATTGGTCATTCCAGGAACGCCATCCATCCAAGGAGTACCTCTTTGAAACATTCCATGCCAGTGCAAACTCGTTGGCTCATCTAAGTTGTTATGGACGATGACTCTTACAACGTCGTTATGATTGACTTCAATGGTTGGGCCCGGAAACTGTCCGTTGACAAGTAACATTCTCCGTTTGAAGCCATCTGGTGCAATCTCGTGCTCTTCTAGTTTCCAGTGATATTCGACAACTTTTGGTATAGCTTCGGCTAAGCGCAAGCAACAAGCTGCTGCAAATATTAATTGACCTACACGCATCAGTATCTATTAGCGGGTCAATTATAAGGGTGATTTAAGTCGATATATTAGGTAATCCAGGTGTGAGAGAAAAAAAATACTGAAAAAGAAGACGTGCGGAAACCATAGAATTGAACGAGAAATCGCATTTATATTGATTGTTTTTACGTGGAGTAGAAGTTATTGGCCTTTGCGGCAAGTTGGTTGCGTTTGAAAGGGAATATTTGGATTACAGCCATTTAGTGTCAACAACTTGGCTTCAAGAGTATCAGTCAGCAAGCAATTAAAGTTCTTTTTGTCGTTGGAAACTTTTGCTCACGCTTTTTATCCAATGAGCTGTAAGATGTGAGATGATAGAATACCTTCACCCTAGGTATATTTTCTTTGCCAACGCTGTTTGGTAGTGAACTGTTCCAACTGAAAAAAAAAATTTGTCCGCATTTGCCTGTTGTACCACTCAAGGCTACTTTAATAAAGCATTCCGACATACTTGATGGCGTGGTATGACAACTATGGACGAGCCGACTTGGATCATACATTGTTGCTGGTATTTTTCCTCTCGCCCAATTATGGGGTGGCAAAGTCAAGTATGCAGGTCGCCTATAACAGATCATTATTCGGTCACATCATTTCACACGATTCCGCAGCACTCACTAAAGCTTGCATAAGGGCCGCCACATAAAGCGATACTCTGGCTATACCTACCAAATTTTCAACTGCAATGAACTTCGTATGTTCTCATTTCATAAAGAAGAAAACATGGTACCAACCTTTTATTAGTGACCATGTAGCTTCAACGCTATGAAGCTGCATTTAAAAATAGGAAAGAAACCACTTTATCGGACTCAGATGCAACTGTACAGTTTTTACCTGAAATCAAAGATCTCAATACAATCGGTAATCCAGACTTTTCAAGATATCCTGAACCCATCTGAGCATACCCTCATACGCTGTGCACGTCTCATATGAAATCTTTTCAGTCATTTATTTGTCTTTCGCGATTTGTGAAGTCGTTTAATGGATCGATCTTGCGTGACCCGGTCCATGATTGTCGTAATCTAATGACTAATTATTTCATACTGAAATAAATGCTGTTTACTTTATCTTACGAAGCACGTTATTATTATCATGAATATTCTCTACATTTAGCGTTTCAATGTGCAATATCTGCATGGGCTATGTATAGGTGTTGACTGCTGGTGTAAGTAAATGACTGAAACGCATGGATATATATAAAGTTGGATCACAAGGTATCAGGGAAATTCTATTGCTGTAGTGCATTCCACAAATAATTCTATTTTCAGCATAAAGGTAAACAGACGTATCCCAGGTATCCACTCTGTTTTATTTTACCGCATGTAGTAAGTGCTTTTATGCCTTGCCTTGTAACTCGGCTATATATAACGCTCTACATTACCTCTCATTGCTTTACTGGTTCTCAATCTACAAATGAAGGTATGGTATCTCATCTCATAGTTGCCAACCATATCCTAGCATAATTAACTAAGAATATCCTATCACACCAGCTCTCGCTTGCTTGCGTTGTCCTTGCTGCAGCATCTCTTGTCTCGGCCGCAGAGTTTGCCTTCACTGAACCAAAATTAAACGCTACCTATCACCCCGGTGATACTGTCAAAATCCAATGGCACGACTATGATGGAACAAAACCTACTGCTAGTCTCTGGTTGGGAACCGGTCAGAGAGCATTGCACTGGCATCCATATAAAATCATAGCAAATCTCACCGAGCCATTCCCGACTAGCTATACCTGGTCCATTCCAAAGAACTTCAAGAAACAGCGTTACTACTTGGTTATTACCAATCAAACCCCGTACCAACCTAAATCTGACTATTTCTTCGTGGCGTAATATGTTTCGTTGCTACCTTGGACACGTAGGTGAACCTCTATGCTTCACTGCACATATGCCTATGAATTATACTCCCTCCAGTTAATAAAAAGGGCTTTTGCAAACATGATTTTCCATTTTTTGAACCAACATCGTTTGACCATTTCCATGTTTCCACGTTGAGAGATGCGCGAAAGGAAACAAACTTGCCCATGGTGACTATATGTCTCTGGATTTCAGCGAATGCAGTACATTATTATTTACTGAATGCTGTACAGCGAAGAGAGAATCGCTTACACGTGAATGTCGAGGAATTGGGATTACGTGAAGGGTAAGAAAGCTCGATCGCGATTGTGGAGATGGAATGAGACGGATAACGAAATGTATTTAAAATCAAAACACTGGCTCTACCTCAATAGTTCGTCACACCTATCATTTATTTAGCACTTCCTGCCTCGTCTATATGCCATTACGCTTATAGATACTGTACTTTTAAACTATGATTGAACTGTAGTGAGTTTCACACTACCTCTTCTTCAGCACACTTCAATACCAAGTGTAAGCATTCTGACCGAATCATTTTGACTGTGAGTCACTGCACCACGGCGTTCCTGGTTGCAAGTCCTCAGTGGGCATCGCTCAAATATGTGGCATTGGTTTGAGGTTTTGTTCAAAATTCTAGCTTCCTTATCCATCTTAATATATAAGAATTTTATTCGAATGCTGCTCTTGATTGACAGCTATTGTATCACTACATCTTTTGCCTGTATAACGAGAATAATAAATGGGGCTATTGGTGCATAGGTTAGAAGCCATTGACTTTCCGAATCTTTTTCATCATTTTCAGATGTATATTAGAGCCATTATATATAAACAGTGACTAGAGCTTAAGCCGCATTCGTGTGAGAGATGTACCATACATATCCATTTACATCGACCCAATCGTCATTAGATTCTTTAACAGTAACAAATGCTAATTATATGCGGTACATTCATTAGGCTTACAGAAAATTATGGTAATAGAACAAAAAAAAATTATTATATTTTACTTCTCTAGATGTTCTTGCTGCGCCAAGTTTCTTGTTATATGACAAATAGGTCCCTGATGGGGGGTGCTTACCGCCCTCTAATCATTTCAGAATGTGATTTCTTGAAAATATTGCCGATTCTGAGCGGCTTTGTGGTGCAGTGGTAGCATTCACGCTTCGGATGTGTGAGGTCCCGGGTTCAAGCCCCGGCAAAGCCCTCATTTTTTTATTGGCCACTGAAGACGTACATTGAAAGCAAGCTAATCAGAAGGCAACTTTCAAGTGAACCTTTGCTTACCTTTTACATGATGCTAGTGGACACTGATAAATCTAGTGACAAACGTACTGACCCTTACTTGAAATAGTAGTTTAATATTTATGAAGTGCTGAGATGTGCACCGAAAGATACTTTGAAAATTAAAGAAAGAAACTCAGCACCGCGATTTCACTTTTATCACAACCTGATCCCGAAGCAGGTCGGAGATCTTTTTCAGTAAACAGCTTGGAAAGCTGAAAGCTTCGGTTATTTCTGTTTTCGTTGGAGTAGATTTCAGCAGCTCCATCACGAGAGATGCTTTTGAAATGATGAATCAGAAACATCGGAATGTCAAGTTTACCGCAATAGTTCTAAAATTCTTGACAAGTGCCGGTTGACGCCTTGAAGCTGCGATACATATTGGAGAGAAAGAGAAACCTTGGAAAGATGTTGAAAACTATTGATAGCTTCTCGAAAGGAGGTAAAGTATCACTGTGTTCGATTGAATATGAAAGCTTGATGCAAACCACAGCTTTCATGAAATCAAGCGCCTGACTATACGATCGAAAGTGACTTCCACTAGGAAACGCACTCTGTAGAAATATATGAAGAAGGTGACGCAATACCATTTTGTATTACACGGTCTCTCTCAATGGTCTAATTAGCGGTACGGATAACCAACAGGTCAAGCACTCATGATGATCATTACGGTTTTTCTTTTGACATGGATACGTGACTATAACTTTGATCGAAGTTCAAAAGACACAATGATTACGGGCTTAAAGATCAATAAGAACTGATGGACTGAGTTGTGAGTTTCCACCAGTACACTGAAGACAATGTTAGAGCAAGGAGTAAGTGCTGATGCTCGGATGCTCGGTCTTAAAGACATGCTAATCTCTTCTACTACACGCTACATCGATGATATTCAACCTCATAGCAATAAACTCATTCTTTTTGCGTCGAAAGCTAAAAATAAAAATTTCTTTACTTGTAACAGTAAAAAATAGTTGCACAACCCCGCTGTCAACCAACGAACCAAAAAAAGATATGCGCAGTCCGGGAATCGAACCCAGGTCTACCGCGTGGCAGGCGGTAATTATACCACTAAACCAACTGCGCGCTTGTTGTAATCCTGGACCAACAATAAAATTATATTCCGTCAAATATGTTTCTACAGAATATGAATCTATGTATATCTTGCTTTTTATCAAGGGAAAGCACATCTTAAATCCAGCCTCTTCCAGAACGAATGAGTCGATACTTCTTAAAATAAAACACAGAGTGTATAATGAAAGTGCTGCCACATCCTCATGTATAACAAACCCATTATACATGCATCGCTTCCCAAAAAGAATTACAAATATTAAAGGCCTCCTTATGTAGCTCTACTTCTAGATACTCTTTCCGTATAGAAAAATTCCAAAAAATTCAATATTAGTGTATCTTTTATTTTCTTTGACTAAACCTATGCTTAGTGAATACTGACCAATTTCCAAGTGCGCTGGAGATTGAAGTAAATCACTCGTTCAAATACAGTCGAACCTTTAGATGCAAAACTGTATAAAAAGTGAAAGCTATATGACTCACGGCTCATGTCTAACAAGGTAGCCCCCCAAAAAAAATCAAAGAGATATACTGGAAAAAATATAAAAAGGGTTCGAACCGAATCAAATGAAAATAATATAAAATAAATAGCTACGAGTACTTAACAGAATATGAAAACCAGCTAGAATAAAAATTGAAAGCATTCAAAACAAATTTCGATCATAAGTGATTTTCATAAAGGTCATTACACATAGCGATTATCTACAAGCCGTTGACGATATGCCATTATCTAAACAATAAGATACATTTAATAATGAAAAAATGACTATAATGTGTTCGCGATCACAGAATGGAAAAAATAAAATATTCCTTTCACAACTACCTCATAGCGAAGTAAATAATTGGTTAATAATTTAATCTGTGAAGTGAACCACACCAACATGAAAGTAATTTAATTCTGGAGCTACATTCAAGTATAGGCAGACCAAAAAAGTAACATAATGACTATCTACAGCTAAATATCCGGAGATCAAGCGTAACCGAAAGGAAGAAAGAAAAAAAATTACAGATAGCTAAATTGTCTAGCAACAACAAGTGGTTTATAGCAATCATTTCAATTCGATGCGAATTAGCAAGGCGTTGAAAATCTACTTTGAAGTATGTTCCTCCTCTTTCTGTACATGACATGTAATGAAAACACCTAGCTTGTGTAAAATGGCTTCCAGACAGTCGGTATCACTCCTATCAAGACATCACTTACAAACCATATCAGACTTTGTATAAAGAAAGTACATTGGTCGAATTGAATCTGGGTCATTCATTGTAAAGGCGGAATGTGAGAATGTCGAACAACAACAACTGTATTGCTCAAATATAAAATGGTGTAATAACATTTCGCTGATGTTACATATGATGCATTTATGCAGGGATAAATTCTATCATGGTATTGGGTGAATTCGAATGCTCCTCTGACACATTGTTATTGTTATTTATAAGTTTTCTGTTATATCTTCGCATGAACACTTCAAAATGGATTCGTCTGAGCCATGAGGTTCTCATTTGATCCGAGTGGAACGAATTGAAAGTTTAATTCATGGAAATTCTTGTATGCTTTTCATAATGTTTACAAAAGGTAATAGGCAAAAAACAGGAACTGTAATAAATTTGTTGCAACAGGGTAGTGGGCAAGTGCATTTTTGCTCAGACACCTGAAATGACCGAAATGACCGAGAGCAACTAAAAAAAAATGGCCAAAGAAAAAAAAAAATTTCAAGCGCGCTGACCCACCTGCCCCATCTTTAACCTCAAGTCAACCATGGAAGACGATCTATTTTATCTTGGTAAACTACGCTGCTTGTATGTCCTCAATATCTAGAAAGTACTGTTATACTGATAGAGATCGTCGCAGAACCCGATTTCATGCCATCCACGCTGAGAGCAGTGGATCTGCGCTCGTTGCTTTTACAGCACAATGTCGCGTACCCAATGCGCGCTACTAAGCCAGAACTTGTTGAAATTTTCAAGGAGCAGGTCATTGCAAATGCTTCCGAGATACAGAAAAGCAGCAAGAAAACAAATGCACGCTCTGCATTCTCTCGTGGGATTCAAGATGTCGACGATACATGGAGCTCGGGAGATGAAGCGCCAGTTAACCTAATTAAGTCGAAGGAAGATATCACGAGAGCTCAAGTGAAATCACCAAAGCGGTCTGTTGCCAAAGAAGCTACTTCGACATCACCAAAGCGTACTAGGAAGCCAAAGAAACTTCAACTGACGGAAACGCCGCAGGATCATGAAGTACATGCTAAGCCTGAAGAACCAGAGCAATCTCAGCATGTTGAAGAACCACTGACTGGTGAAACCGGTGAAGCAGCCGTACAGGAAGAAGATAAAGAAACGAAGAACATTGAAATGGTCGAAAAGGTAAATATCATTTTAAGAGGTACATCCATGATGGTAATTTATGATTATGTGATATCAACGGTAAATTTGTCTGTCTTGTATAGAAGGATACGTTTGTCAAGCCAACAAAGCCTGCACCACGAAAGCTTAAGGCGAGGAAACCTCGTGCAGATCGATCATGGATCAAACCAAAAGCAGTGCATTCAGGACTTACATCTGACTCAGACTCGGACGTCGGCGATCGACAAAAAAGCGATGAAAAGCCTGTTGTGGTAGAAAGCAGCTCTGTAAGTTTACAAGCGCACAATTCTGTTGTTCGAGAGCTACATGTTCTTGACAGTTGTTTGTATCCTTTATTCTAGCAATTTCCAAATTTTATGGACAAGAGCCTACTTGCATCACCAGTGGCTGACAACGCAGTGGTTGACACCGCTGTACCCAGTCACAACCAGATGGCAGGCGAGCCCATGACTCCTGAGAGTGAGAAGGAACACATATTCTCGTCGGCTACTGCCGAGCAGGTAAATATTTCTTATGCAAGATATCCGCTCAGTATTAAGACTGGAAGCTAATATTGGGCACGTGATGATAGCCGAGACGGTCTCTTAGAATCCGACGAGCAAACAGTAAAGATGTCAACATTCTCGAACATCAAACAGACGACTTGAATGTTGAACAAAATGAAAAGGAAGCGGAGCATGGAGAGGAATCGGCTGTCAGTTCATCACTATATCCAGAAACTGTGACCACTATATTTGAAGAAATTGTGACAGAAGTGGAAGCCGATGACGAGGCAGAGCCTTCGGCGATTGCTCTGGCGAAAGGCAAACAGCGAGCGAAAAAAATGAAGCAGAAGAGAGTGAAGAAGCCATCGCCGCGCTTATGCCAGTTGCTTGCTTTCATTTTCACGATGACCGCCTTCTGGTACTTTATATCTCAAATGACTTTACCGAAAGGCAACTAGTGTCAACATGCCATACTTAAAACACAGATAATCTATGAATATTTCAACCTGTGAACCGGTCTATCCGAGTTTTTACGTTTGTATAAATTGCTAGTATACATATTGACTAAAGTGTGCAAAAATAGAATTTTGAATCAACGAACGAAGGAATCTAGTTGGAAGCTTTATGATGCTATAGTATTAGAGGCAATATCTTTTGGGCATGATAGCTGATACCTAATTATCTAGCATTAAGCATCTGGCTGATGATGTTAGTGTCGAATCTTAATGGCAACTTGTATGCTGCTAATAGCTTCTGGGCTATTGCATACAATTTATTTGTGGCGAATGAACTTTAGCAAAATTTAGTATAAATATACTCCAATATTCATACGTTATGCTGAGATAATGCGTATGTGAGTTTGATACTGCAAAGTAGCTTTTGATGGCAGACATTTCAATGTGACACAACTTAAAACCGCCCGTTAGAGGCATTCTCGTCAGTTGAATGCAATATCGTTTATGAAGTTACATTCATGAAATTTTCAATATTAGTCAACAATCGCTAATTACTGAATATCACACAGGACAAGATAGGTTTTATCTCGAGAAGTAACGGAGTAAGAATTTATACCAATGGGTACTTGTAATAAATGCTGGTCCCGAAAAACAAGAAACCGATCTTAGCTCAGTTGGTAGAGCGGGAGACTGTAGTGAGCCCCGAAAAGGGCTAAATTGTCATCTCTAGGTCGCTAGTTCGAATCTGGCAGATCGGAATTTTTTTGCTTTTAATTCAAATATTATTTTTTGAATCCGAGTCGAGTTTTGCCTCAACACCAAGACTCCTGCAACAAGCCTGTATGTTTTTAAGGTCTTCTAGCTGATCTACGAGCGGATAAACAGAACGGGAAGCGATCAGCGTTAAATCAGATACCATGGCACACAGTTTTTTTTTTATTAAAGGTCAATAGACGCCATTTTCACGTTATGGTACAAAAGTATGCACTATTGGAGCCATCCTTGTGGGAAGACCCAAGTTCCATCCTCAGCTTTATTCAATTTTGCAACATCAGCTACATCGGCCACTGAAAATGTACCAAATAAATGAGGAAAACTGTCATTTGAGCCGTCATCGCTGTGGGTGACCATCTCCCACTTGATATTGGAGGCTATATGAGCAGACTTAATCTTGAGTACCCAGATGGCTTCGTTCGAGCTGAAGAATCGATTTGCAGTATTTGGCGTTTGTTGTGCTGTCGACAAATGTATGAAGCCGCTGGCTACATCGAACGGGGTTGGTTCGAATTGCGATGCTGGGGATTGCTCAATGAATGCACTGTCTGGCAAGATGATTTTGTACAAATAAGCTTGGTCAACCATGACGTTAAAAAATAGAAGCTGGTTAAAAGTTGAAGTGGGGCCTCCAACGCTTTGCATAGAAATAAATCTCGAAGGCACATGTCATCCTCTGGATATCAACGTCACTTTTGCTATGACCACTTCTTTAGCTTATATCAACCATCGCATGCATAATTTGAACTTCAAAACGTAAGAGAATCAAAAGTCGTTGTATTTTTTGAATATATGTTTTCATTCGTGACGCCTATCGCGATTTGTCTAATTACAGAATATGGGGGAGGGAGGACAAAGATTATAGTAGTAAGAGATTAAAAAGGCACGGAAGCATCAAACCCGCTTATTTCGCAGGCCATTGGATGGCTTTGTTACTCGAAACATGTCAGTAAGCATGCCTTGCTGCTTAGGAGTTGGCTGTCTGTTAATCTTGTCGGAAAGGCGATCGGCGTCGGCAATTTTAGGGGATGATGATTTAGCTACAAGGAAGGGGTTGTCTCCGAGGTCCGTCTCAGCGTGCCGAGATGGAATTGAGATAAAACGAGGCGAGAGAGAGCCTCTTTCGAAGGAACGTTCGCGGAATGGCCATTCTTTAATATCCTGTGGTTCAATGTTAGTCAATTTGGATGGTTGTCGTTCATGCGTTGGTTTTTTGGTGAGGGAGTATGGTAGCGTAGGTGAACTTGGACCCAGACGTGGTGACAAGGTTCCATTAATAGGCGAACGAGCACTTGAGAGCTTTGGAGTTCCACCTCCTGAAGATAGCATCAAAATAGTTTGAGCAGCTTCTTCAGATTCATAATCGTCTGAACTTGATCTCCGTTTGAGCGGTAGGCTAACGTTTCTTGGCGGAGAGTGGGGGGTCGGAGGTAAGTCGACTCTCTTCCTAATGGCAGTCAATGTGTTGGCTGCTTCGTGAGATGGAGAGAGGTCGTCTGTTTGATGCTGATGAGGTGCGAGGTGAGGAAAGGATAAAGCAGCTTCAATTTCCGAAAAAGTATTCTTAACAAGATCATGCTCTACTTTATACCGTGCATATTGCAGGCGCGTCTTCAATAGCTTGGCATACTGTGTCAAACGCGTTAGATGTGGATTTCTATTAACTATCCTGTAGTTGAAAGGAGTTCTTACCTCGGTGACTTCTTGCGAGATTTCTGAAGTAGCTTGGTGAGCTGATTTAGTTTGAGCATCCATGGTCGCGCTGTGAGTTGGACTTTTGACCGTCAAGAGCGCAATTGAGGCGATTCAAGCGACAAAACACCTTGATTTTGACGGAAGATAGGTTATGTAAATTTCGAGCTGTTGGCGGCAATTGTGTCCGAGTTGAAATTTCGCACTTAGAAATGTGCGAGGTTTCAGACAGCAGTAGATATAAGTCACGTGCCATCCCGCACCGAAATGAGGAAATTAGCCAAACCTCCAGGCAGAACAGCGTCTTTTGTGTAGTGACAACGCTTTTTCCAGGATAACATTGTTATAGTACTCAGAATAATGCTAAGCGTAATAAAATAGACAACGAATAAGTATCGAAACGCCTTCTATCTCTAAAGATAGATGTGCGCAGTATTTGGTAGCAGCAGAAGCAACCTGATTTCCACACGTAAGCCTGCATAAAAAAAGAAACAAGAGCAAAAGTGTGACCGCGCTGCGTAGAAAGGTCAATTCTTCTAATCATTCCACCGATAAAAGGAAAGAGGATGCGCAGTATTCCACAATGTAAGAATTAATCAAGCGGAATTATTACGAAATTTTTTAAAGTCACTACTGTATTAAAACTTTAGCCCAAATATTCTGCTGTTGAAAGAAAAGGCTACAGTAATTAAATAGATAAAAGAATTTGTGTGAATGAATAATTAAGGTTACATAGGTTGGGATCCACTAGGTTGTCCAAGTCTCATATCCATCTTGTTAGAAGCATCGAGTGGCATGAAGATGGTCTTTGGTCCTTGACCATTTTTAGCCATAGAGCTTAAAGTTTCAAGGTATCGAATTTGCATAGCAGCTGGAGTATTTAGGATGTTGGCGGCATCTCGCATTAATTTGGCGGCATCCACTTCGGCCTTCGCAGCAATGACACGAGACTCTCCGACACGCTTAGCCTGTGCCGCTGAAGATAGTGATGCTTGGAGTTCGGGAGAAAACATGATGTCTTTAATAAGGATGGATTCAATCTTGACACCCCACAATCTTGCAGATGGCTCGATAACGTCTTGGATCTCGCCGGCAATAGCCTCCCGGTTTTCAATAGCATCCTGTAGCACCTTACCACCAAGAATGTGCCGAAGTGTCGTTTGTGTTCTAAACACAAATATACAGTGAATACAAAAATCATAGCAAGCGAGATAAACCATGAATCAAAGCACTAACCTTTCTGTAAGAGCTCTTTCGACATCGGTTACTGCGTATTGAGACTGGTAAGGATCCATGACGTGCCAGAAGAGGACAGACTCTATTTTGACATTGACATTATCCTAAAAGGCGATATTGTTAGAATTAGTAAATCAGCCACCAAAAAAGCTAATACGACACCAGACCTTATTGTCAAGCCCCAAATAAATGATTTTTATGTCGTGTTCTTACCTGTGTCATAATCTCTTGCTCCGGAATTTCACTAATTTGAATCTTGATATCAACCTTGAGGACTTTCTCGGTAACAGGATTAATCTAAGAAGCAATGTATGTGTTATTAGATAAGCACATCAAAATATGCATTTTCTCGGCCCTGTGAAAGTTGAAGGAGAAACATACCTTAACTAGACCAGGGTCCACACACTTGTAGAATTTACCGAAGCGGGTAACAAGACCAACGTAGCCTGGTGGATTATGCAGATTAATACGCGGCCATGGTAAATAAGTTCTACAAAGGAATTACTCATACCTTGTGGGATACGTTTATACGGATTGGGACAGCAGACTATACAGGGAATCTATAAAGGAAAATGGTGAGGAATATTGAATCGGGCATGGGCTGACATCGAAAATGAGGGATGCATCATGTTTGAACATACCGATCCACAGAATCCCAAGACTGCTCCAATTGTATCTAAGGAAAAAAGGAGAACCCGTGTTAAAAATATTTCGCATGTATTTTGAGGTACGTAAGTTGGCGTAAGCTAACTCACTCATCATTGTTCCATAGCAACCCTATAGAAATTTCATCGTATCATTCAATTATAAGTTATCGTATTCGTAGCAGAATCAAGTTTGAACCGAGTTCTTACATGTGGAATAGAATCGAGGCCAAGTTCCATAGCGTAAGTTGGTTGTAGTCCTTGTTGACCTAGGGCCGCTTCCGTCTCAGTGTGCATAAGCGGAGTGGGTGGGTAGTTGGACGAAGAAGCTCGGTCAGTTAGCTCCAAAGCTTGTTCAGAGCGATTGTTTTGGTGCGTCATGGAAAGTAAACGGTTACTGGAGAAGATTACGCTCGGTCGAATGTGATGTTATAAAAGATTGCCAGAAATTAGAGAGCTGCGAAGGGTAAAAGTTCAGGCAAGGTATGACCAGGACTGCGATCTCATGTGTACAAAAGCTGCGAATTTCGCACACAGATTGAGCGATTTTTCTAAACCTAGTCTGCGCATAGGTGTATTTGATTCTTCAAGAAAACTGTCTTAAATACCTTTATTCGAAAGAGAGCAACTTCTTTTGAATACCATATTACTAGTCTTTCTCAGTACGAACGTAGCTGCTTGAAGTAAATTCCCACACACGAAAGGAAATTAATCTACACTATGTCTTCAACTCCTTCTAACGACTATGGGGCCCACGATGCCCTAAAGATTCAAGAGATTCCTCAAGGAAAACTTGCTCAACAAGGCATGCAACCGTCTTTTGCCACAGAGCTGAGTCTGGATACTATTGAACATGTAAGTCCAAAGAAAAGCTTCGTTTGAACGTCAGCCGCATACTAATACCTTTGTTCGTCCTAGGGCTTCTACGGGTGAGCAATGCCGAGACGATCTCGAGAACTTCGCTGTCATTTGTTACAAAGTTGTTAATGTGTGAGCATTTCAGGTCTATGATGAACGGCTTGGGCTCCATTGCTGGTACACTTGGTTCGGTACGAATTTATATTCTCATTGACAACCTTAAACGCTCTTACCTGACACCCCCCTTTTTTATTTTTTATACTAAAGGTCCCCTGTATTATTTGCTGTCCAAATCCTTATAAGCGAATTGATCAAGGCTATGTTGGCCTAATCAGCCGCTTTGGCAAGTTCTACAAGTGTTCTGATCCTGGTTTGATTAAGGTAGGCACATCGGAGATCGATCGGGAGTGTATTGTCCGCAATGCTTATATGTCATTTCGTACCTTTACAGATAAATCCCTTCACGGAACGTATTGATCGAATTGATGTCAAAATTCAAATTCAAGAAATTACTCGCCAAATCATTATGACAAAGGACAATGTCAATGTCTCTT